TTGTAAAGCTCTTTCAATGCTCTACTATATAGTAAATTAAAAACATGATTATATTCCAATTATTGATAGGGCAATGGTGATAAACTATTGTGTGTAATATGATGAGATTTAGTGTGTTTTAACCTATAATCTCGATTAGGTTAAAACAATCGATGAATGAGTTTCATAACTCGAAATGAAGTGTGAATGGGCGTGTTAGGAAGATAACATAAAGGACTATGACATAAATAGAAGTCTCTATGGGTTATGCCAATACACTTTATAGTTGAGTTTGATTAACCCCACTATAGAATGACCAGACATGCACTTACTAAGTGGCATGTAAGTGGATTATATTAGGTTGAAGTGTATTACGTGAAAGCTTCGACTAATGCTTGATTAGCAAGTTAACTTAAGAACTTGGGAGGAAACCATGTTTATATTCTAACTAATGGTTGGATACTTTAGTGAGGAGCCTTGCTCCGAAATCCCTATCCATGTTGTGGATATTTGGCTTCTATTGAGCATATCTGGTAGATGACGTGGTCCAGACAGTGGAGGTCTAGGTTTTCCCATCGACCATATTTGACAGATGAATTGTTAGATCTTCGTGATCGTTTGGGCTAGTCACCCTTAATTGCATGGAATGTTTAGCCATGAGTATGATGTTAATATGTATTGAGGATCCAGTAGAGCTTCGTTATATTCTCGTTGTGTATCTAACACGTAAGAGTGGTGCTTGTGATGAGTATTGAGTCGAGTGGACTCAAGTTGTGCATCCTGTGTGAGGCAAACAAGTGATAAGTCCTAAAGCTAATCGAAACTAAAACTTGCCTAAACCTAAGGGAGTAATTACTTACACAAAGTTTCAAACAATAAAATTTCAATCAAACTTCTTCTTCATCCAAAATTACAAACCAACACACATCACTTATTCAACACAACATTATTTCATACTCTTTTTGTTTTTCTTTTTCAAAGCTTTTCTATTTTTTTCTTTCTTTTTCTATCACTTATTTTTCACATTTTTTCTCTTTTTATTTTTCTTTCATAACCTCATAGCAATCAACCAATGAGTACAAAATTATTTTTCTCCCCAACTTGAATTCAACCATCATCATAATGCAAATACTTCCTACTTTCTAAGGCAAGGTAAAAATTCAAACCAAAACAATGGTTGAGGGTTCAAGAAAACAACGAATCAACATCCATGCAAAAAGAGAAACTAAACACTCATAGACAAACATTTAACAAATACAACATGGATATCGACAAAAAGCTCAAAGGGATTACTAATGATCACACACTCACAAGGTGAATTGACTTATTTGGCCAAGGTAGTTGTGCTCGAAATAAAACAAAAAAATGCCTTGATCATGTTCAAGCTTTCATACAATTAACACAAACAAAATATTAAGCATAATAAAATCAAGTTAAAACAAGAATTATGGTCTCCAGCATATGTGAACAATATAAAGCTACCTCACAAAAAGGGTAGGAACTAAAGTGATTCACAAATGAACAAGTATACAAAAGAATGAATGACATAAAAATTGTAAAAAGTATAAGTATCATGAATATGCTAAAGTATAGAAAGCGATAAACACATACCTCAAACGTGTACAAAATTTTAACAAAATCATTACCATGCATTCGCAAGTCAAAACGATCAAACTTGATAAATCACCTCAGTATTCTACAAGTTACCGGACCAAAACTTGAGTGCAAACAACAATAAAAGAATTAGAAAAATAATACTCCTATAAAATTTCAATGTACAAAATTTATAATATATACAACGAACAAAACTCCTCAAGCTAAACACGACAAACTTTCAGAAAATACAAATTAACATAACAAAACAAATACAAATAACGATATGAAGACCGGGTGAAAATGAATTAACAAGTTGAAAAGTGAAGATTTGAAATTCAGAATATTTCCTTGTTTCAACTTATTAAAGCATAAATCACCACACACTTAAGCAAATACAAACAAACATGCTTGTTTTACGTCGTATGCTCGACGCCTTTATTGTTAGAGATAATAACCTCCTCTCAATGTCATGTTATTGTCACACCGTGCAAACCTAAAGAAAGTGTCCTAACAATCACACAACAAATGTTACGAAAACGAGACAATTCACAACAATACGTGAAAACAAAGAAAAACACATATATGCACAAATATCATATACAAGTTAGTATACAATTTCTATACAACATATACATTAATTATAAAACTCAAAAACAAAAGAATTATCACAATGCAAAATCAATAGAACCAATCCCCGACAACGATGCCATTTTGTTGGAAGCGTTATAGCGACAAGCAACAAAAGTTTTTGAAATATTTATCCGGGAATTTATCGTGTCCACAGAGATTGGTTATTGAATTATCGTTCGACAAATCTCCCGTTAATGAGTTTGGGAATAAATGGGTTTGTAAAGAAAATGTTATCAACAAAAAATAAATGTAAACAAAAGTAAAAACTAAGGAAGAACTTATCAATCCTGCATATAATCTACTCATCACAGACTTAAATCTATCGACCAATTACATTCAACCTAACAATACTCATCAATGTCACTATGTATCACTCACAACCTAAGTCATTTCTAACCCAAATTGAGAGACCGAGTGTATCACCAAGGAAATAATCTCTCTACCTCCTTAATAACACAAAAGAAAACTATGTAATCACACTAACGATCTCTCAGTACAACACAACCACACAAAGGCATTACGCTTTGATGCCCAAGTAGATGTCAGCTCTAAATCTATCTCTAGAGTTCAGAAACTAACAGATAATCATCCTAGATAATAATCTAAGCAGTATATGTCTATAACAAATCAAATCCCTAGCACAGAGAAAAAATCTAAGATAATAATCGACGAAGATTTGTAAAGCAAGTTTAATATAACGCCATGAGCGATAAATATACATGAGTTCAAAGTAAATACATATACAAACTCAACACATAAAGAATACACAAAGAAGAAGACAAATGAACCACAAATCTATCGATTTGCCAACGCCGATTGAAGAGCAATCTACCCCGGATCATCCGTATGCAAGCTTCAATGTTGTTTTCTAAGCTAATCCTATCTAAAAATGAAGGTTGATGGAATTGGGATCAAAAATACCCAAAACCATACCCAAAAAATGTGTTTTTACACCTAAATACGCATTTCTGACTGTCCAGCATCACCCGACGACCAAAAATCGTCGCTCGACGACCAAAACAACATTTTTCCACGCTACAGCTCGCCTAGTGTCGCCCGACGACCAAAAAACATCGCCCGGCGACGGATGACAGAAAGTTGAAAAACCAGCACAGCATTCTGCACTGTTTTCGGCCATAACTTTTGAACCGTAACTCCGATTTGCACCCGGTCGGAAGCATTGAAAAGCTTATTCAATGCTCTATCTAACAATGGTTAAATATCAATGCTCAGATACCTACAAAAATGAGATTAAATCAATTAAACTCAATGATATTTACACGATAACGCAATAAATACACTATAACATAAATTATACCGAATATACACTAAAGTCAAGGTTTATTGATAAAAAACAAACGAATTAAGCCGATGAGTTCTAATTATTCACACTCAAATTAACAATAATTTAGCACTCATTAATCATCCACCAACTTAAACAAATATTGTATCTCGGTTTTAGGACCTCTAATCTCCTTTTGTAATTTATTCTTATGTTTATATATTTGTGTGATCCGAGTAACATTCGTTGGATCCCGCTCTTGCAATGAAAGCAACATGTGTATTGGTGGAACATGACGTTTTGTCAAATCAATAACATGTTACCTTTCTTATGAACTTAGACGACCGACAAATGAGCTTCTAATCTATCAGATACATTATTGTTTTGAAGTCCATACTTTACACCAATCTTCCATCCTGAACCATCTTTAGACATTATTGATATGATTTTAAATGGACTCTTACATTTTTTAGTTGCACTTTGTGTCGTACTATCAATTTTCTTGTATTTTTCACCTTTATCACAACCAAATATTATTTTGTTGCTTCTTCCTCTTTTTCTCGTTTCCATATCTCATTAGTAGTGATAATTATTATATTATTTCTGATTCTAACCTCCTTAATCCACCCTGTCACTTCTTCTCTTGTATCAAATTTTTCTACAGTTGAAAATGCTTTCGTAGTATCAATTCATATATGGGATCTCCATAACTGCAAAAATAAATAAAAAAAATTAATTAAAAAAGAAATTGTATACTCGATAATTTATAAGTAGATTTCTCGATAAAATAAATTGTTGACTGCCGAAATACTTATAAACAAATTATCTAGTGAATAAACTAATAACTTCTAGAATACTTATAAACATATGTTATCTAGTGAAGATACATTATAATACCAGATAACTTATGTATAAATATTTTGTTGCACATATAAAACATTTAAAAAAAATTTGTTTGCGAATTATCCAATGAAGACTTAGCAAAGTTATCCGATATATACAATGATAGGAATGAAAAAAACTTCAACTTCAAAAAAGTTAATTATGAGAGTAAAAATTAATATTAAAATTATTTGAAAAGTTAAAAGAATAAAATTGAAATATTTTAAAAAATGTAATTGTAATAAAATAACAAAAAGAAAATGCACAAATACGAAAAGTAATAACCATAAAAAAAAAACGAAACACGCCATCGTAAATAAATGGGGATAGTTAAGTTGGATCTTGGCTCCACCCTCGAAAATTCAAAACTCCAATAACAAACGGTCTCAAACTTTGAATTTAAATCCATCTACACCGTTCAACCCAATCATTCTCCACGGCCCGATCACAGAATCTTCTTCTCTCTCATCTACTTCCCCCTACTTTGTTTCTTCTTCATCATTCCTCAAATTCAAACTTCATCTTTCACTTCCCTCTTCGGTCATTTCACAAACCCTAAAAAACCTTCACTCAACTCCATTTCCACAAATTCTTCATCAAAATCGTATCAAAACCGTTCATTCACATCAAAATGCCTTTTCTATCCGAAGCCGCAAGTGCAATCAAGACTAGATTCGGGTTCCATAATCATCCATCGGAACAACTTTCGCTCACTCAGAACACTCCAGATCTTTTCAAATCAGCGGTTAAAGATAATCTCATTCATAACTCTGCAGTTCGTAATATCACCGATTGGGACGATGATTGCGTTGTTGGACAAAGTAGCGCTAAGGTTTCCTCGATTCAAAGCTTTGAATTGTGCGAAGATCCTTCTTTCTGGAAAGATCATAATGTGCAGGTACAAATTCAATTTTAACTCACTTGATAAAGATTTAATGTTAATCGCCATTTATTTTTTATTTTATGTTTTATAAATTTGGTCTAATTAAAAATTACAGTAAATTTGTGTTTAAATTCTTGATTTATGGTTTATTTATGTAATTATGTATACAGTTTAGGAATGGTTTAGGGTTATAACTTGTTGAAGCTGATTAAGTTTGTTTTTGTTTAATTTTTGTTTAATTTTTGTGAGCTAGGTTATAATTAGGATGCGTCCGCTTAGCAATAACGAGATATCTGTTCAAGGTAACAACAAGTGTGTTAGACAAGAGAGTTGTCAGACTATTTCTTGGACTGGACCTCCGGAGGCACGATTTACTTTTGATCTCGTTGCAGATGAGAACGTTAGCCAGGTAAACTGTAAACTTTTGTTAGATGTATTCATTTTGGTTGGAGTTAGAACTATTGTGCAAGTTTAATTGTTAATGCCGTGGTTGTATTGTACTGCTTTTTCTATTTTCAAGCTTGATGATATTCACATTCACTTAACTGATGCAACAGGAGAATCTCTTTAAAGTAGCTGGTGTACCAATGGTAGATAACTGCATGGGAGGCTATAACAGCTGCATGTTTGCTTATGGTCAAGTGAGTCATTATCTTATCTTTGTAAAATTTAACAATTTTACTTTGTTGACTTTAATTGTTTGTGCATTTAGACGGGAAGTGGGAAGACGCACACCATGCTTGGTGACATTGAAGGGGGAACTAGAAGACATAGTGTCAACTGTGGGATGACACCACGAATTTTTGAGCACCTGTTTTCAAGAATTCAGAAGGTATAGTTTGTTATGGTATTCATTTTGATACAAGCAACTTAGTCATTATTTAAGAAAAGTCTCCCCATTAATTAGGGTTTTGTGATTCACATACTGAGTAAGTATCATGTAACAAAAATATATGCTATTATTTTTTAGGCAGTGAGTAAGCAATGTCTCTGAGCTTGAAACAAATGTAGCCAAGATTTTTATACTTACATTTTATAAACACCTTGTTTCACTCCACTTTCTGCACAAGAAATTATGAAAGTAGTATTTTTAATTGTTTTCACAATTTTGTATGCACACATATTTAAAATAGAGGAGGGATCAACTTCCTACATAGAGTTATTCGGCTTATTAACTCATTGTGAACATTAGATTCTGCTAATCCAAACGGTGAAGTAAAAATTCTTATATTCTACATTTTTTATATAAAATTTCGACAATTGCAGCTGTGTAATCAAATAATCGACATATACTTGTTTTTTTCTTTCTGACTTGTTAATTGTTCAATTGAGTTTATTAGATGAAGTATCAACTACCAAATAACTTTCAAATTTGTAGAGTTGATCTACTCAATACAAGCTTTTAATTCAACGGTTGGATTTGTGAAATCTAATGTTTATAATGGGTTATTAACTATGTGCAGACTTACTCTTGGAGTAAGTTGATACATTCACTATAAAATATATGAATATGAATTAATTGAATAAAGTTTATATTTGAAAAAACAGAAAACATTTTCTATACAATACTTAAGTTTTCACTTTTTATATATTTAAGTTTTAATTGGTTAAGTTCTGCCTAATTTTAGTCAATAATAGCTCAGTCCCTACATGGCTCTCTAATTCATGTGTTATATTTGCATGTTTTAAGTTTAGTCTGTTAATACTGTAATACACCAGGAAAAAGAGGTGCGTAGAGATGAGAAGTTAAAATTCACATGCAAATGTTCTTTCTTGGAGATATACAATGAACAGATCCTTGATCTGTTAGATCCTTCATCTAGCAATCTGCAGGTAATTTTAGTAGCATTTCACATCAAATCTTCAGTTTTGAAAACTTTCAGCTTTAAAAATAAACAAAAAATAATGTGGCAGATAAGAGAAGACAGTAAGAAAGGTGTTTACGTGGAAAATCTCAAGGAAATGGAAGTTACTAATGCTAGAGATGTTATTCAATTACTTGTTCAGGTATGTAATGCCTCCACCTTTACATTTGAGTACTGTTAACCAATATTGACTGTAATACTCGTGGCTTGTAGTATTTTGGTTTGTGGTTGAAACTATCTACTACTTTGTATCACTTATAGGCATTTTGCAATTCCATAATTGAGAGAAAACAACCTATATTTTTATTTTCAGAACAGTTTATTTAATTTTGCCCATGAACCTGATCTCTCTTAAATGTGCTAGTTATAAGACAGTGATCACAAGTTATGATTTTTTAGGGTGCTGCAAACAGAAAGGTGGCTGCTACTAATATGAATCGTGCTAGCAGCCGTTCTCATAGTGTATTCACTTGCATTATTGAGAGTCAAGTGAGTAATCTTTCTTTATTCTAATTCATGCAAAAGAAAAGTTTAGTATTTTGTTTTGTTTACTAGTATGTTATTATGACTCATTAATTGAACTATTATTGTTGTTAGTGGGATTCTCAAGGTGTTACTCACTTTCGATTTGCTCGACTCAATCTTGTTGATTTGGCTGGTTCTGAGAGGTAATTGGTTCATAGAAGTGTGTATGCATGTTTATGTACCTGTTATTGCCACCTAGTATTGCAAGTATTGTATGCATGTTTACGTATATAAATCCTTCTTGACATCAGGCAGAAAAGTTCTGGTGCTGAGGGAGAACGCCTCAAGGAAGCTACTAATATCAACAAGTCTCTTTCAACTTTGGGGTGGGTATCGTCATTGTCAATGAAGGGTTACTGTATATTTTTCCAATGTGGGGTTCTACTTAAAAACTAACCTTGTAGGTGTTAATATTATAATTGCAGGCTTGTGATTATGAACCTGGTAGGTATATCTAATGGGAAGTCACACCATGTTCCTTACCGCGACTCAAAGCTCACATTTTTACTTCAGGTCAGTGACAATTTTTTTAGATTTGTGCTGCTTAGGTGGTCTCAAATCAGGATTAGATTTCAGCATCTGGTGATTGCTGGCAACAGATATCAGTGTTTTTAAAATGAAATAGTCACCCTCCCAGGAACTGTATTTTTTTATTTGGTATGTATATTTCATTTTAATCACCATTTATTATTGTGCAAGTATGAAGCATTATTAATGAATGAGCTATAGAATCAACAATATGGAGCCAGAAGTTTATTACCTCCATACTTCAACAATATGCCAGAAGTTTATTACCTTCATACTAACTGGCAGATGAAAAAATTGATACAAATTACGGCGTCTTTATTTATTTTTTTCCTATCTAGAAATTGGTTCTGAAGGTGAAACTGGAAACATCACTAAAATCTAAACCTTAAACATTATAGGGAAGAGACAAGACACCTGTAACAAATATCATGCATACTTTCATTGTACAGTCACTGCCCTATGCTCCTAGCAGTGAATGTGATGTTGTGGCATAATAGTAGTTTTAAATTTACAGCGCATGTTGCAACGATATATGAATATCTTTTAAGGAGTGTTAGGCAAAAAAATTACTTACTAGTGTCTGAATTGTTTTATGAATAAGGACCTGTAAATTATCGATTAATCTGATCAATATTTGGTTCTTCTTTTCAGGATTCTCTTGGAGGGAATTCAAAAACTATCATTATTGCAAATATAAGTCCCTCCATTTGGTCAGTGAATCTCCTTCAATGTTCAAAACATCTTTGCATAAGGACTTGTTTCTTTCGCATAGCGAATTCTTGGAAACTGGAATCAACAAGTTTCCATGTTTTGATTACTTGTCATATTAAATGGATTCTTTATCTCATTGTCCAATTTCCTAGTAGCTTATTTACTGTCATTAGTTCTTTATTTGCTGCATATAGTTAAATATTTTATACTTTAGTGACCATTAGTAATTCTTGCAGTTGTTCGCTTGAGACATTAAGCACGCTGAAGTTTGCACAACGTGCTAAATTTATCAGGAACAATGTATGTCTTTCGTGCTTTTCATCGTTTTTTATTAATTTTCTTCCATTTTTTGCCTAATATTGTTTTATTGTTTCACTCCTAGTTTGCACTCCAAGTTAAAAGCTTCTGTAGAGAAATTCTAATGTATCAATCCTACTAATGAGAGCTTGTAAATAATTTTTCATCAGGCCATTGTAAATGAGGATGCATCAGGGGATGTCATTGCAATGAGACTTCAAATTCAACAACTCAAGGTACTCTAATTTTGAATAATTCTTACTTCTATTACATTCTTAATGTCCTTGCATAGAAAGTGGACTGGTGGCCCATACTTAGTTATAGTAGTGGCATATCATTCGAGTCAAATAACGCAGTTATACATGTTCATTGAATTGTTTATGAGGCAAGTATGATGGTGAACATGAGTTTTTTCAATTTCATTTGAACTTTGAAGGGTAATGGAACTTCATAAATTTAATAACATTGATTCTTCATGCCTTTATATATAATATATGCACTATCTAACCCTAGTCCTACATTAAAAAATAAAGAGAAAGGCCTGAAAAAGAGGTGTGCTTAAGTGAATTGTACTTGCTTGTCAGTGGTCACACTAATCAGACATTGTGAGTAATTCTTGGCCGTTCTGCCCTATTCTTGCATTATTGTCTTGTTTTCTCTTCTGATACCTGTTTGAGTCTATCAATACAATTCGTTGAATTGAATGGATTTTTTGTCATAAAAAAGTGTTACGGTGAGCAAATGAATCTTCTTCAACTTTAGTTTTATGCTATGCTAATTTACAAGGTTTATCAAACCTGCTGAACAGATATATAGTTATAATTAGGAATGCAATTTCTTTTTCAGAAAGAAGTGTCCCGTTTGCGATCTCTAGGTGGTGGAGGAGAAATTCAGGATAAAGACACTTCAGTAATTAGCTTTCCAGGCTCGCCGGTATCATCCTTCAAGTGGGAGAGTGCTCAAGGATCATTCAGTCCATTAACTTCTGCTAAAAGGGTATCGGTAGATATTTGTAATGTGTCAGACAAATCATTGGGTTCTATTACTGTTTACTGATACTCTTCTTTTGCTTGATACAGAATAAAGATTATGAAATTGCCCTTGTTGGGGCCTTTAGAAGGGAAAAAGATAAAGAAATAGCATTGCAAGCACTGAGAGAAGAAAATGAAGCGGCCAAGAAGCTGGTACGTGTGAAATGACATATACCTTTTTTATGCGAATGACATAAGACAAGCTTTAGATCCAATTTTTGAGTTTTAATAATCAGTTAATGTTTAATTTAGGTTATCATAGATCTCTGTTAGGTATTCTGTATAATTTTTCAGTATAGAAAGTTTACTATTATATATATTATCATGGCAGTTATTGATATTTTTGTTATGTAAATCTTTGGAAATAAAATTATTGCAATATGGGATGAATCAGGTCAAACAAAGGGAAGATGAGATACAATGTCTAAAGATGAGACTCAAGTTTCGAGAAGCTGAAAGAAGAAGGTTAGAAGCAGTTGCCTCTGGGAAGATCTCTGCTGAGACACACTTGCTGCTTGAAAAAGAGGAACATTTGAAGGAAATTGAGGTCCTGCAGGCCAAGGTGGACCGAAGTCAAGATGTAACTAGATTTGCTTTGGAAAATTTGCAGCTCACAGAAGAAATAAAAAGGCATGCTTTCATTTACTTTTTAAATAATTAAATCAGCAGATTCAATACACATCTTTTTTTTTAATTAGGTTTTTCATTTTCTTGGTTTCTTGTGCAAACTAAAAGTCTCTCATTCTGATTTCATGATTATAAGAAAGGTCGGGAAAATGACCTATTGTGACAAAATATGAGTACTCAACTATATAAAATATTACATAGATTCTATACATTATACAATACTTGTATGGAAACAAGCCTCCGGGGAGTTAGTCCACGTTTACAAAATAACCAGTGCTTCTGTGAATTTTATGTGATCTCTTATCTCTGTTTTACGTAATGTTATGTATGCTGCTAATGCTTATCTATCTCCAAAACAGGTTGAAGTCATTTTATGAGGAAGGTGAACGGGAAATAATGAATGGACAAATCATGGTACTCCAAAACAAGGTAGGGTGAGGGAAGGATGTTTTTGTAATGGTTCATTTAAGTTTTCACTCAATCTCCCCCATATACTATTTTTTGTTGTTGCTGAGAATCTCACATTGAATGTGATATGACTTAAAGAAATGTTTATAATTGAGAATCTCCCCGGTACTATTTTACGTAAGCTGCTAATACTTATAAGTAGGTTTGTAGGGTTGAGTCAGACCTAACCCAAATTCTAAGATGGTATCATAATCTATCCTAGACCCATTGGGCCATCTATTATGAGCCACCCGAGTCTCATATTTAATGTGATATGGCCTGAAAAAGTGTTTATAAATGGGAGACATTCCTTACCTTGTAAACTGATTTTGTAAACAGATCAACCCTAACTCTAAAATTTTCTTTAAAAACTTTCAGTCAACCTCCCTTCACATTGGTTGTGTTTTCTTCACATATATTTGCAGTTGTTAGAAGCATTGGATTGGAAATTAATGCACGAACCCGATATGGTAATGGCTCAAGTTTTCATAGTTTTTACAGTAATAATTTTTTCCTTCTGTCAAAAGGGAACTACAAACTTTGAAGCTGACCTACTCTTTTGCAAATGATAGAAAACAAATGCTGACTCAATGATGGAGGACTTAAATAGAGATTGTGATCTTATTTCAAAACAGGTAAGAATAGTGAAGTACTCTGCATTAGTGTTCATGTTTGAAGTAGTACTTACCTTGATATTTTACCTCAATTTAGATGTAAGTTAGAAAGCCTAGAAGATTTTGATTGTGCATTTTACAAGGTTTTCAGACTAGCTGGTGTTCATGGATGGACTTGTGTATAGATCTCCAATATTTTAATACTTCAATATAAAACATTCAAATCCAACATATTTTGCAGTTGGTATAGTATTGCCCATGAGATCTTACTCAATTTAACTTGCTAGAATAAATGTAGGAACATTTTGTAACGTGAGTATATAAGCCTCTCACAGTTTCAATCAAAGAATGATCATGTGCTCAACTGTTAGAATACAGCAGCTTTGAATTAACTTTCTATTTTGTTGTCTTGTGCATTTAAGTTTACTTCTTTTTATACTCTTTTCTACATTAGAATTTGTGGGTAAATGTCAATCTTGGGCCAAGAACAATATTTAGATGATTTTTCTTTTTTCACGCACAAGTCCTTTTTGGTTTGACTATTTGAGCCCCCCCCCCCCCCCCGCAACACAATGATCATATTTTGGGTCTTCTCTATAGGAGGCCTAGTAATTTTCTATATGTTTGATATGCAAATAGGTTTTATTATATTTTTGTGCTTGGTTTCATTTTAAATATTTCATTTATACAACTTATTTATTTAATTCTTGTTGACATTTATCTTCAGGAGCCTAGTCCAAAGTCACGTTGGCAGTCTTCTCTTCGAGAGGAAAATGAGTTTCTTCGCATCCAGGTCTAGACCGTTCTAGTTTGTATTACTTTTTTTGCTCAATTCAATTTTTTAGTCAAATACCTGTCTTTCATAAGTTAATAAAATGTTCTCTGGCAGGCTATACAAAACCATGCAGAAATGGACACAATTCTGAAGAAGTTAGAGGTCTGCCTTGGAGAGAAAGAAAAATTGAAAAGGTATTGCTTGCTCACATTTTTCACAAATTATTTTACGGTGGTTGATTTGTGATCTTAAATCCGGTCAGTGTTTTTTTTTTCCCGCCTAAAGTGATTTTTGGTACATTTGCTTCACACTGTTTCTGCATATGCATGTTTCTCTATTGCAGGCAAGTTGATGATTTGAAAGCAAAATTTGAACAAGAGAAATCTCAACTAAGTGAAACAACAACAGAAGGAAGGGAGCAAATTGACCCTCCATCAATTAACATCAATGGCCAAATGGAATTGAAGACAATGGTTGATGCTATTGCTGCTGCTAGTCATAGAGAAGCAGAGGCTCATGAGACAGCAATTATCTTGTCAAGGGAGAATGAAGAGCTAAGGGTGAAGCTTAGAGCCATGCTTGAGGACAACAGTAAATTAATTGAGTTGTACGAACAGGCTGCTGCTGAAAATAACAGAAATATTACTAAAGGGGAAAATTCTCAAGAAACTGTATCCAAAGTTGCCAATGATTACCTTCTTGAAAAAAGAGAAGAGGAGGCTGCTTTGAAAAGAGTGATTGAGGATCTCCAACATCAGCTCACGGAAATCAACGAAGAAAAAAGAGAAGAGGTGGCTGCTTTGAAAAGAGTGATAGAGGACAACAGTAAATTAATTGAGTTGTCCGAACAGGCTGCTGCTGAAAATAACAGAAATATTACTAAGGGGGAAAATTCTCAAGAAATTGTATCCAAAGTTGCCAATGTTTACCTTCTTGAAAAAAGAGAAGAGGAGGCTGCTTTGAAGAGAGTGATTGAGGATCTCCAACATCAGCTCATGGAAATCAACGAAGAAAAAAGAGAAGAGGTGGCTGCTTTGAAAAGTGTGATAGAGGATCTCCAACATCAGCTCACGGAAATCAACGAAGAAAATGAGAAGTTGATGAGTTTGTATGAAAGAGCCATGCAAGAGAAGGACGATCTTAAAAGAATTCTTTCATGTTATGGACATAAAAGAGTTGAAACCAAAGGAGAAGAATTGGATTGTGTGGAAAAGCTTGTTGAGGTTGACGAAGGGGAAAGAGACTCAATAGTAGGGACTGCTTCAGAGGAAGTGCAGGATAGATGTGATGGTAGATATGATGTCAATCCTGTTACATCTGGTTCTGATATATGCCTTGAGTCAGATGGACATGAAGAAGAAAAGCTTTTAAAGGAGGAGAATGAGGGTGATATTCTGGTTAACACTGAAAAGGAGACTGAGGTATCAAATCTCAATGAGGCAAAGTTATCAATTGTAGGGACTGCTTCAGAGGAAGTGCAGGATAGATGTGATGGTAGATATGATGTCAATCCTGCTACATCTGGGTCTGATATATTCCTTGAGTCAGATGGACATGAAGAAGAAAAGCTTTTAAAGGAGGAGAATGAGGGTGATATTCTGGTTAACACTGAAAAGGACACTGAGGTATCAAATCTCAATGAGGCAAAGTTATCAATTGAGTTAAACTATGCTAAAGAGAGAGAGTTATCTCGGTCAGATGGACATGAAGAAGAAAAGCTTTTAAAGGAGGAGAATGAGGGTGATATTCTGGTTAACACTGAAAAGGACACTGAGGTATCAAGTCTCAATGAGGCAAAGTTATCAATTGAGTTAAACTATGCTAAAGAGAGAGAGTTATCTGGGTCAGATGGACATGAAGAAGAAAAGCTTTTAAAGGAGGAGAATGAGGGTGATATTCTGGTTAACACTGAAAAGGACACTGAGGTATCAAATCTCAATGAGGCAAAGTTATCAATTGAGTTAAACTATGCTAAAGAGAGAGAGTTATCTGGGTCAGATGGACATGAAGAAGAAAAGCTTTTAAAGGAGGAGAATGAGGGTGATATTCTGGTTAACACTGAAAAAGACACTGAGGTATCAAATCTCAATGAGGCAAAGTTATCAATTGAGTTAAACTATGCTAAAGAAAAGCTTGAAAGGGTTGATGAACAAATCTTAGATGCTGTTAGAACGCTTGGCTACGCTGAAAAAGAATTTGTCCAGGTTGATGAGCTCTCAAGAGAAATTCAAGTGATAGAACATGATATTCTGGTCAAACGTCAGCAGTTTAAATCCTCAAACCTTGAACTTCATGAAGCACATAATAGAAGAGCTCTAACTGATAAAAAGCTATCTGCACTCAAATATTCATTATCAAACTTTATGAAACACGGGTCATTTTCTTATTTTGAGCAACGGGAAGCAAAGGCAAGAGCAACGTTAAATGCCTTGGCATCTCATCTTGACCGAAAGAAAGGGGAGTTGGCTGCTCTTCAAGCTTCCAAACAGTTGCTGGATAGTGATATAAAGAAGACCCAAGAATCTGAAGCTGAGTTAACCAAGAATGTTGCATGCATCAAATCCAAACTGGAGGAAGAGAATCGCATGCGAGAAGATGGAAAGGTTCTCTTTGCTATTGATAACACACATAACATAGATTCCTCAGTGAAAAGTTGGCAATTTAGCGGTAAAGCATTTGATTTACTCAAGTTAGAAGAAGAAAAAACTAAGCTGCAAGCAGAGTTGAAACTTTCTCAAGAAAAATCCGGGGTTATTAGAAAAGAATTGGGAAATCTGAACAAGAAAGTAGCAAAGGTAGAGAGTCAGATACAGGCAGTTGGACTGGAAGTACAGCAAGGTTTGAGAACCACAGAGGAAAAGGAATGTTCACTTCAACGTGCGACAAATGAAAAAGAAATGTTCTTGGAGTTTAGAGATAATGGAATGTTGGAAATGGAGCACTTGATCATTGATCTCCATCAATACGTGTTTGAATATGATCTAAAGGAGGCTGAAACAAAGATTCTAGGGGAAGAATTGCAAATGAATTTTCTAAGAGCCGAAGAGTTGCAGACAGACATGATGATAGCTGTAAACAGCAATTTCTTATCTTCCATGTCTTGTGTAGGCACGTTTGAGAAGGTAGAGGGGCAAATGAAAAATCTAAGGACATCTATTCAGGAGACAAAATTATTGTTGGAAGGCATTTCCCGTGCCACCTAAACTATTTCTCTCTGTTACTTCTACTTCTCCACTTCTTAATTAAAGCATGTTGTGTGTAACATTCATTATGGATATGCTTGTAAACAAACTGACCCCCTTTTTTCTAACTTGTGGCTTTTCTCCGACCTTCATCTGGGCCTGTATTTGTGTCCCACTCTTAAAAGTAGCAGAGTTAAAATCTGTGTCAAGGACTGTTCCTTTTCTTCTGCCTGTCCTCTTGTAGGAGATCGTCCTATAGCTATATGCCTTAGGGAGCTAAATGCTAGGAATGCGCTTCAATTGCTCATAGTTATGACTTCTGAGTAGTCCAGATGCTCTTATCATGTTAGTTTGGATGCTCTAATGTTTTGATAAAAGATTAGGAAATTGAATGTCATGATATTGCATTAATTTCTTGTTATAGGAATGTTTAGCTTCCTTTGAAGCTCCAAATAAAAAAAAAAGATTGAACACAAGATTTAGGAAAAACATAGCTGACATGCCCCTGTGACTTGCAGAAAACCACAGTATCTCATATTCTCCAATTTATTTTCTTTTGATATTTGCCAGACCGATTGGCTTGATAAGGTATCAGGCACTTGTAATCTAGTAAAAGTAGACTCGTATCTCAGAATTTTTTTTGCAGATTTTACAATTAAAATACCTCAATAATCATGTTTAAATAATTACGCTCATATAGTACTGCATGTAAATTTTAAAAGGACGCGTCATTTGAAATGACACATGGATTCATTGTAATTTTGGATAGCCATTTCATATATAGTCTATATGTTATTTATTTAAGTTTTTTTAAAAATAATAAAAAATTACTTAACGTAAATAAAACATTACTAATATTAATTTAATGAAATCATTATATTCCAGAAATAAAAATTACATATTTATCTGCTCGGCTGTTGATAACGGCTATTGATTCTACACTCCCGTGCTATTTTAATTCGATGTACTCTAAGCCTCTAAGGTTCCTCTTGTGTTTGGACCGAGGGTCCTGTGAGTAGAGCCGTCGAAATGGGTTACCCAATCCTAAACGGATCCCTGAGGGCATGAGCTTTTTAGAATTGGATATAAAAAAACTTTATTGTAAATATGGGCTCGAAAATTACTATCCGAGCCCGGGCCTAGATGGACTTCGGACTACTCAGTCCTAGATAGGCTCCGGGCAACCCGATCCTAAATGGATTTTTTTATCTATAAAAAAATAAAAATTAAAACTCCATAATATTTATTATAAATGAAATTAGAAATTATATTATTTTGTAGGTAATAAATTTTTAAGTATTATATTATCTTTTATAAATACTATAATGTGTAAATTGTATAAAATAATACTCGAATATTTAACATAAGAGAAACTATTAGAATACAAGGAAAGAATATTGATTATATAAATGTCTAAGATTTAAAATAGAAATATTGAGTAGAATAGAGATAAAGTTTAATGAGGTGAGAAAAATCAATGTGTTATTTTAGAGTAAAAAAATATAAGTATTAATATAATTTTTTTAATTTTATAGTTATGCGAGCCTAATGGACTACCCACGACCCATACAGGCTAGCGGCTTTTTAGGGTCGGGCTAAAAAAAATCCTAAAAAGTATGAGCTCTAAATTTAAGGCCCAAATCCTATAATTTTTCGAGTCTGGCAGGCCGGCCCTTATGGGCAAGCCCATTTTGACAGCTCTACCTGGGAGGTCAATGCGATCAGGGTCCATGAAATTCATCAGGTCACCAAATATTCTCGAAGACCTGCTGGTAAAAAGTTTTTTTGCCCATGCCTTCAAAGTTTGGTTGTGTTGATGGGGGATTGGGATGAATGGATAGTTGGTAGTACTGGTTAGTCGAGTCGGCAAGGTAAAAAGACAATGTTTCTTGTGGTGTTTCGTAGCCATATGCTTCTTGGGTGCTACGCTGATGTGATGTTTGCAGGTATGTTGGGTTGCTTGGGTCAAATTCCTCGTGTTGGCCCAGGTCGGGGCTAAGTTGAGAACTGGAGGGGGCCCACACAGGGATGTTAATTGTATGGACTTTGTTCTTGGTACTGTGTTTGCGTGTGTGGTTTGTATTAGTCTTGGTATTTGAAATTCTTGTAGCCAGATCTCAGATGTCCTAAGAGATGTCGAGACACTGATCTCTGAACAATAATGCAATGAACAAAATAAAACAATAATCAATGCTGAAAGTAAACAACACAAAATTGTTAACCCAGTTCGGTGTACAACAACACCTACTCTAGGGGCTACCAAGCCAGAGATGAAATAACCTAAGTAGTATCAGCTTGTAGACCCACATCAAACTCTCTCTAGTTTACAATCTACTCACTTAATCACTACCCATGCTTAATTTCTACCTAAGACTCACCTAGGTATGAGACCCTTCTCAAATCCCTTACAATCACAAACAGTCACAAGAACACAATTCAAATGAATTAGAAGACAAACTTCAGAAACACACAATCACTTTATACTTAGAAGCTTAAGAGTGATTCACAATACTTACAATTCAATAGAGACAGTCCAATTCAGGTATTAAAATAATACAAGATTGGCTCACAAATCACACGAAACAAAAGCCCTAAAACTCAAACAAAAGTTACAATTTGATCCACACCTAAACTAGGTTTTCAACAATCTATTTAAAGCAATCTTCTGGACTGAATTGGGCTTCAAAAACACTGCAAATCAGCTGCTAAAAATCTGCAGAAACTTCTGCATAAAAATATGACTTCAATCATTAGTTTCCTAATTTATCTCCATAATTAGAAACAAAGAATATTCCTTGAATTAAGCTTGAATCTCTTAATCTTTAAACTGAGCGTCACATGGGATATCATAATATCCCTAAAATATTCTGTATCTGTATTAAACTAAAAGAATCCAACTGTCCAGTTGTACACATACGCGATGTCGAATGATTCTGCATAGGAAATCTTGTCCAATATGTTTCTCTAGCTGATAGAACATCTTCTTTCAACATGTTTATACTAAGTTGGTTTTACCAAACATAATGCCAATCACAAAAATAGAGAATTAACAATCTTCCCCTTTGACTTATTTTGGCTAAAACAACTTAATACTACTTGCACACAAAAACATCAAAGGAACAACTCAGGTTTGAAATTGAATCAAACATACATAAATAGAGGTGCAGTAGCCAACACAAATATCAGCAGAAAAACAATTTTATCAGAGTGCGGTGGAAGCCACTCATTATAGAAACAAGACAAAAAAGTAAATTATTCTCAACATGTCAGAATATCTTGTCTGAAAACTCTTCAGAGTCAATCCAAACCATAACTAACCTTCCCTTCCAAAACTACTCAGAACACAACAGAGAGTTTGTAGATTCTCCCCCTCAAGAGTAGCAACACAGATTCAATAGAGAATTAAGATTCATCACCTCTTTGGCACACTTTTGGCTAAAACACTTTTTCCACAGACACACTGAAGAGGGACACATCATCAGGGAGACACAACACCAGTTATATCCTTTAGTTGGTGTACATGAGAAAGAAGATAACGTGTATCTTTCCCAAGTTACTCCCCCTAAAACTCAGAACCAATTCTTGTCACAAAGCCCCTAGAAAATTTTCCTGTAGCCTCAAGAAACAAAAAAAAAACTCAAACTTGACTAATCCAAGTTAGAATACCATGAGACAGAAGCAACGCACATTAGAAGATCATGTGACAGAAGCAAAACAAACACACTAGACATGATATTAAAACATATGGTACGACATACTGTATACACCCACAATACAAGAACCATCATATGAAGAAACAGAAAACCCTTATGACATGTGGTCATACTCCCCCTTAATTATTGCATGCAAGAAGCAACACTTACTTAATAACACAAACCTTAACAATACTAAACAAGACACAACGACACTACTCTCCCCCTTTTTAGCCAAAAGATGACAAACACTGAGTGTGAGAATGAAAACAAAGAAGACACAACCACTGAAGGACACGACACATAATACTGTGAGGAAATAAAAAATAAGACAAACATGAGACGGAAGAACAAGTTGGGGGAATTTAAAATCAAGGAAGGTTATTATGGTTTGTAGCGATGCCTTGTTTGCAACAACACAACTTGTCAATGCATGTGTTTTCCAAGAGGATAAAGTCATCCTTGTTAACGGCGCGCCATTCATTTCAGGAGAGTGACATAGATCTGTTTAGTTTCTCTCTTTCTAAGCCTTGACCATTGACATGTTCCAACATCAGCCGTGACTTCTCCAAACCATCGAAAAACATTTTTCAGGTGTCACTAGATGTAGGCATACCGTCTACTAGAGCCTACACTCATTCTTCAGTAGTGAAATTCCAGACCTACCCTTCTGAATACTTTTCTCCTCACGTTAAAAAAATATACCTCTTAGAGTTCATCAAGCAAACCGTCTTGGAGGTGTCAACAAATATTGTAGCAACAAATATCGTCATGCTATGCACACTGACATCATTGGAACCTTTGGACTAAGCTCTTCATAACACCATGTCATGACACCTTGTTGAATATGGAAATCTTTAAATATTGACAGTTCAGACTTTTCTCAACCTTAACCATAGTCTTTGAACAAGACCATAATACACAAGCAACCACAGTTGAACAAAGAGTCACAATAAGGGATAATCATAAACATTGACTCCATCATACTTGTCCAAAGAAGTTACTCTAACACTTCACAAAAACTAACTCTTAATCAAGTGAAGATATATTCACAAAGAATAAGAACTCTCTTAGATTCACATCTCCGAGAACAAAGACAACAAACATTGATGACTAGAGAATTTTCGGAAATAACTCCTTCTGACTCTTGAGGTCTCAAAATCTTAGATGATGTCGCAACAATGGTTTGGACATTATTATATTTCTCAATGCTCACACCACTGGACTTACTAACGAGGACTCCAACTAAAACCACCCAACACACATGAATGAACAAAATATTTCATGATGAACCACATATAACAATTATCTTCTTCATAATAGTGATAA